GAATTCAGCATTCAGGGATAAGTTAAAAAAACAAAAAGAAATCTGTACCCCTCTCCTGAGCGTGTGAATGGGGTGCGTGTGAACTTCTCCAAGGGCGGGCCAGGTGGCCCTGCTGTACACACAGGCCTGCCAGACACACGGCCCCTCCTGTTTCCTCCCGCTCACCCCAGCTCAGTACCTGTCCTTCCCACACCTCTCACAGGTGAGGAGAGTAGGCTCCAGGGGGTGGGGCCGTGTCCTGGGACCCACAGGTGAGGACAGCTTGCACGTGGTCCCAGCTGCACCCCCTGTCTAGCCCTTTGCCCCCAGCCTCACAGGGTGGATGACGTGCAGGTCGCCCAGGCTTTACTAAGTAGAGCAGAACAGCCCCCTCATCTGGGACAGGGACCAGTAGGTGAGGAGACCACTGAAGGCCTCAGGACTCGGTGGCTAGAGACGGGTGCCTCCCCCAGCCCGTCTGGTTCACTGGGCTCTGCTGTGGAGGAGTCACTTCACCGCAACTTTGGAGACTCCCCTGTGGGCTGTGAAGCATCCTGCTTGGGCGGTGCCACCTGGGGGCTCGTGGGGTACAGCCCATCGCTTGCCAGCCTGGGGCCATCCCAGGGCTGTGCCTCCTGTGCTCCTAGGAGCTCTCCCAGACACCCCCTCCTGGGACTTGCAGGGCCAGATGGCTCCCGAGACCTCTCCCCATCTGCAAGGCCAGCTTGTCCTCCCAGGTCTGGCTCCAGGCTGTGTCTGGTCCTGTCCAAGTCTTCCCTGTCTGGGTGACACAGGAATGGCCGCATGGGGTCTGGTCTCCCGGATGTCCTCCAGCAACCCCCTGGCCACTCTCGTGGTCTCCACCCTGACTCAGACACTGAGGGAGAGCATGGCCTCCACTGCTGCCTCAGGCACAGTTCAGTGAGAGACCCCCCCGCAAGGAGCTCGGCAACACAGGGGCCTTCATATGGGAAGCTAGATGGTCTCAGGGAGCCCAGAGGGGAGGGTGGGGGTCTCAGGGAACCCAGGGAAGAGGGTGGGGGGTCTCAGGGAGCCCAGAGGGGAGGGTGGGGGTCTCAGGGAACCCAGAGGGGAGAGTGGGGGTCTCAGGGAGCCCAGAGGGGAGGGTGGGGGTCTCATGCAGCCCAGAGGAGACGGTGGGGGTCTCAGGGAGCCCAGAACAGTGGGTAGTGGGCTTCGTGTAGGATAGGCACAGGTGCAGCACCCCATCCTTCCCAGCTCGCAGTGTCTCCAGTCTCCTTGTTTTGCTGCTGGGCCTGTCCCTTCCCCGTTCCTGAATCTGGCTGTACCAGAGCACTGGGGTCCTGAGAACAAACCCCGTTGGGTGGGAGACAGGCTGGACTCAGCAGAGGGGGTCTGCGTCGGGCTGATCCCCATGGGGGCCCCTCTCCTGGATCTGTCACGAGACAGGTTGTGAGAGAGCCCGAGGTGCACCCGTGTCACAGAGGTCCCCTTGCAAACGTTATTGGGTAGTGACACAGAAGCTGTACTGTCTGCTGTGAAGACGGGAAGGTGGGCAAGACTCTGCCCTGCACGGGGCTGGCGGTCTGTGCACAGAGCCACGGAGTCCCTCCCCGCCGGAAAGCTCTTTCTGACGGAGCATGTCTCTCTGAACTCAAAAGCCTCAGAAGTTCGTCTTTAAAATTCAATACACAGTCTTTGCTTAAATCATGGAGGAGCT